AATCCTACGGCTGCATCTTCACGTGTGCAGTTACGCGCCTCATCCATCTGGAAATGCTTCACAGTTTGAGCACGGAAGATTTCATAAACGCATTGCGTCGATTTACGGCTCGAAGAGGGGTTCCCGTGTCAATCACGTGCGATAACGCCCCCACCTTCCTGCTCGGTGCAAGAATTCTCACAGAAGGAACCATGCAACAAGGAAATGTTCTCAAGGCTATAAGTGACAAGGAGATCCAGCGGAACTATATTACACCCTATGCCCCATGGCAAGGGGGTTTCTACGAGCGACTCATCAAGTCAGTGAAGCAAGCCCTCTACAAGGCACTTCGAGGTGCCCACCATCGGACAGGAGACCATCTACGCACGGTACTCACAGAAATTGAAGCATGCCTCAATTCCAGACCGCTTACCTATCAAAGTGCGACACATGAGGAGTTCACCTCAATTCGTCCGATCGATTTTATACAAAAGGATCTGGTGGTGACGCTGCCAATGGAACACCTATTAGCAATCCATCCAGATGACCCGGACTACCTTTCACCGCCGGAGGCTCGTGCCCTTCAGACACGCTGCGAGGTCGTGGAAGCCTTACGCACTTCATGTCAGCTCACTGAGAACTTCTGGAAAATATGGCATGAACAATACTTGACCAATCTTCGCGAAACGCAAAAGCGTTCACCAATCGTCAGAAGGCAAGGGCAGTTGAGACCCCTAGTGGGCGACGTTGTACTTGTCTCTGATCCTGTCCTTCCACGCAATGAATGGAAGATGGGAAGAGTCAGTCAAGTAAAGCACGGAAGAGACGGTGCTATTCGGGAAGTGGAATTAATGACGTCTTCGAAAAGGAAGATTCGAAGACCAGTCAACCTCTTGATACCGCTAGAGGTTCAAGACTCTGCCAACGATCAAGGCTCGGCCAACGACTTCGGAGACAACCCGAGGGATACCCAGGATTCCGCAGATCTCCAACATAACGAACCTACCCTTCCTGGCACAGGCATGGATCTATCGGCGCAAACACACAATTACAATCTTCGACCACGCCCTACTCGACCGAAGATTATAGATGCAATAGCCACAACGTCTTCTTCCCGACGCAGTAAGACGTTCAAAAGATGGTTCCTTTTCTACCTGATGATCGTGACCTACTTAGTAGTTACAGCAACTCCTCTCACGCCCCTCATACAGATGACCTGCTCCAATAAAGGAGTCTTAGTGTCAAAGGCCCATAACAATGTTACCTTTGAAATCTGTACGGACCAGTCCTGCGAGCACTACGACGACCAGGAGCGGAAAGTTGTGGCCACATTTCCACCTGAATATACACTACAGGACTACCGCGTCATGCTGAAATGGAGCGCAGGACGAGAAGTGGCTACGGTGGAAACAGTTTGCCGTGCTTTGGACTTTTGTGAAAACATCAATTGCTGGTTCTGCCTGCAGGTCCTCTGCAATCCAGAATGCTGGCCGATGGGAGCAATATCGACCTTCATTTTCACTTTGTACCTTGTCGTGACAGCATGTTATCTTCTTCTCTACGTCCCAATGACCATAGGCAAACCGATACGTCTAATTCTCCACGGAACATACATCATACTGGCCTGAATACTATCTATCTTTGGACGCTGTATTCTTCAACTCGGACGATGCACTACCAGCGGACACAAACGTTCTCGACAGCAAAGGCTTCTATTGGCGCTAGCAGTTGTTTTGTACATCACGGCAGTCGCTCCTGGAGGGGCGAGGGCTTGTCAGCTCGTTGACGCATTTGAACATCGACTAACGGTCTGCTCAATGTCGACGGAAGGACAAACCTGTAACATAACTACAACGGAACTCTTGAAGCTCAATGTGTTCAAGCAAGAAGCGTGCTTACGCATACTGTACAACTCGTCACTCATTTCCAACATAAAGGTACGATGGAAAGGTCTATACCTTAACTGCGAAAAGGAAACGCTATACTTCACGCGCCCTACCACCCTAAAGGTGCTGGACAGTAAACGCTGTGCTCACACTGGATCCTGCATCGAAGAAAAATGTGCGAACATCAACAGTTCCACACTAGTTCGTGAATTAGAAGAGGCCAACCATTACCCTGGACGTACGGGATGTCTTGAGTCGTGCGGTTGGCTAGGATGCGGATGTTGGTACCCTAGTTCAGGATGCCTCTTTCACAGGGTTTATGCTGTCCCAACAGCCGAAACGATATATGAAGTGTTCCGGTACATGCGCCTGTCACAACAAGTCAAGTTGCTGCTTACAATGGAAGACTTTTACGACGAAGGAGGAAAGCAGCAGTACGAACTTATGGTGAAACCGAATATACCCGTGCAGCTCTCTTCATTACGCCTTACTATGACTTCAGTGAGCCTCCCCCCTACACCGCTACTTCACAGCTACTTTATATCCAACGGACATGAGACATCGATTTGGGACAAAAATAAAGTGCCGAATCTTATCTGCTTCTCGCCAAAAAGAGCTGCAAACCTGGATTGTTCGGTCGCGGAAGACTGCCGTTGCGAGCCCGCCGAGAGCAAGGTCAAATGTGAATGTTCCACCATAGATGTGGAAAAAGAGTTTGACCATCTCGAAGCTAAGCTTCCGATAAGATCTCCAGTCTGGGAACTATCAACAAGTGAGGACAGCACGGTTACTGCAAAGATACCAGATATGGTGTCAGCGGATGTGACGGTAAACTTTCAGTCCACGTTGAAGGAAGTGGCGATGATGGTCCACAACGAGCACTGTTCGATAGAGGACGCAGACCTAAACGGATGCTACAGTTGCTCACAAGGTGCACGGTCGACGGTACGATGCAAATCCGAAAGGAAGACTTTGGGGGAGGTCATTTGCAACCAGGATTCCTTTGTCATACCATGCTCGCCAAACGAAACAGAATCATTGCTACGGTTCAACTTCAACTCGGCACGGCAATTCCTCAACTGCTCAATATCCTGTGGATCCAGTTCGAACTACTTTGTAATCACGGGAGTCCTGAAATATACTGGAAGTCTTTCAATGGTTTTTGCGACGTTACTCGAAGGGAACAGCACTACCTTCAATACTATCCAATGGCCGGATGTGAACCACATAATGGACGTGGTCATGGGATGGTACAAAACGTTGCTCCTAGGCATACTTATCCTGGTTGTGGCTCTACTACTATCGTACTTCTATCTGCCAACCGTAGGACTCCGCCTGGGACGGTTTGCGCTTAAGAGCATCTGTATGTTTTTATGCTGCCCCCTGAAAACGCTCCTACGAAGGATTCGAACGCTAGTGCGAACAGAAAACGCTTTGCTACCTGTCACGCATGAAAAAGTATTTTAGCTCGAAAATTACCGAGCAGCTCACTGAACGTAGCGCATGTGCTTTTAGACGCCTAGTTGCTTAGACGCTTTGACGCTTAGGAAGTGTTGTCACTATCACTCTAAAAATCACCACAACGTAATACTTCACGGTTTAGAACATGGAACGCCAACGCATGGAACGCCTTCAAAACGACTATGATGCCATTCTCAGAGCCCTTCCTCCACTTCCGGAGCCGGAAGACCTCTACGCGAGGATCATCAGGGCGTGCTGTCAGTTCTGGGTTTCGTCAAAATCGATCGACAACTTGGGATTGGCGATTCGGACGTTAAGGGCCTCAACAGATCCCTGGCAGGAACGTTACGCTTCATGCCGGGTATTACTGGAGACGGTCGAAAGGATTAAACTCGAGCTTCTCCTTGTACGTTCACAACTCGTCACTCTCTGGGCCCTACCGAATCTGTTAATGGCAACGCATAGGATCGAACCGGACGTATGGAGAATGATGATCAACAGACCGCAAGTGGACGATGACGGCAATCCACTACTCGTCCACAACCAACTACTGGACAGGGCGATACGCGATAGACTGGAAATACTCGGGGATCAAGCCGCAAACCTGCGAGAATATGACAACGCACTCGAACTTGAATGCCGTCAAGAGGACAGTCAGTCCCGGGACCAGCTACGGGCCGCGTTAGAGTCGATGCGAAGCCTCATTTCAGACTTTGTGGCTCGTTCCGAAGCCGTGTCTTCACCAGAACAACAGATCGACAATCAGGGAGACAGAGCCGGAGCGATCAGGATAGACGCGCAATCCATGGAGCAGCTGCATGATCCGGAGGAGGAAGAGCAAATAGAAGATGAGCTAGTAAGCGTCGACGAAGACGCACAGGGTACTGATGAGAGCAGCACCGAAGCCAGTCTCGAAGAATCAGACGAAGACAACCAAGAGGATGCGGTAGAAAGAAATAACTTCGAGGAAGAACATGCGATCCAGCATGAAGGCAGCGACAACGAAGACAACGTGGAAGAAAGGATCGACGAGGAAAGAATCAATCCTGAGGAAGATCAAGAGTTCCGTCCCCAAGTCCATGGTGAGGTACTCGAAGAAGGAGAACCCGAAGTTCGAAACGACGAGGAGGCCGATGAAGATCAACCTATCCAGCAGGCACGCGACGAAGTGGCTGAGCTGTTACTGCAGCTACGACAGGCTAGACAAGCGGTGCGCGATTTCCGACTGATGATGAATGATGTGGAAGAGAGGGAACGATGTCAACTGCGAAGGTTCGATGGAATGATCCAAAACCATCGCGAACGGTTCATGCCATGCGCGTTCTGCGGACATAGAGGGAGCCACTATTCCGACTCCTGTACAGTGTACATGTTTACGGAAGACCGATGGAGAATAGTGGATCGGGAACAGTTGTGCCCTGCGTGCCTCTATTACACCTGTTTCAGAGGGCAATGGTGCCGGAAGCGAAACACAAGGTGCTTCTACTGCAACCGGACAGGGCACCATTCGGCACTATGTACCCTTCCGGAAAGGAGTGCGCGTATTGAAGACGAGCTGGAAACTTTACGGCGACGACATGACCACGCCCAAAACCGCGTCCACCGGCTGATATACAGTCTCGAGAGGTGAGGAGTGGACGTGTAACTCCGACAAGCATGGCGGGGCCGGGAATATCGCGGCAAGCGCGAGTCGTTGAGATTCGGAAAAGGCTCCAATGGAATCAGAAGAATGTCGAAAAGGACCATGCAGCTGGGCTCTTCCTTGGTATGTCGGAGAAAAACGCCAGCTGCACTCTACATATAAGCGCTCAAGCCAGACCATGGGCCGACGAACTGTTGAACTGTTCGAGTCCCTTAAACAGCTGCTCTTTGCATAAGCTATTAAGCTGAAATAAAAAAATAGGTATAGATTACCCTTTGGCGTGAAGGCTTTCGGTCAACTCTTTGTGGCTGCTCCAGGGTTGTGCTTCTTCCATTTCAGAGCTTACAACCGTATTCAGGGTCAACGTAGACATCAAGGAGAGCCTTCCTCTCGGCAATTTTCTTTTTTAGAATTCAATTCAGGGAAAAGAGCTGCTATAGTTGCAACTTGTGGATGCTGTTCGTGGGTGTGGACTGCTAGTTAAAAGGCCGTGCTTACACTTTGAAAGCTCAAAAGAAAAGCGACCTTTCCCCACTCGATCGTAGAACGTACCACAAGTAGCGAGCAACAGTAGAAAGGTGCGTCGTACCATCGAATTCTAGGAAAAATGAACAGCCCTTATACCCTTTTCATGACCTATTATCATCACCAACGTGGCAATTAAACGAAAAATTCTTCATTAGCCTATCTATAGCGTTGCGTAGGGTACAGCTTCCCGAGAAGTTCCATAAAAGCTACTTGCCATGGTTCCTGTACTGTGCGAAGATCACTCATTAAGCGATGCAACTTGTGTCAATACTCTTTTTGTTGTGGGATGATTTCCCGTGAATTATTTTCCCTATAGACAGAAATGGAGTTATGAAAAGTGGAGCAAAATCACACACGCTTGGTAAAAGATAGGATCACGGCTTGATACACGCCCGGTAGCCCAGGCTTCCTTACCTCTGGGTTTTTCTATTGGTAACAGACTAATTCGGTCGGGGCTTCAGTTGTTGCAATTGCACAAGGTGCTGACTACATCGAGCTAGAACAGTACAGAACTGCCTTTCGCTGTCGCTATCGGTCACGATAAGTTGTTTGAACTTCCTACAACGGCTCCTTTGCGTCTGGTGCAGCTTCTACGTCGCCGGTGTAACTCGTCCGGGGGCACACACGGGATATATTTCGCGAGCCATTGAACGCTTTATCTGGGCTGTATTCCGCCCTGACAGGGCCACATATGGTATACGAGGAATCCATAGATTTATCTTAGGGTGATATTTCATTAGTCATTTTCATTGAATTGTGCCTTTGAATCAAATTAAAACTAAATCAAACAATAATTTGAAGGGGTAGCAATGAGTGATGGTGATCTGATCAATGATGGATTTCATAAATTATCATAACTCTCTACGTTTCACAATCAATAACATCTCAGGCTTGACGTCTGAACTGAGGAAATCTGTACATCTTTTTCCATTACAGGAAAATATCCTAATATTAAGAGCATATTTAAGATCACGGCCATCGGTACCAAAACTACCATAACCTGAGATAAAAAGTAAAGATAAAGTCTTGGGACGTTGATAAATCCCGTGTGAGAGATGGGCAACCGCACTCAACTTCCATCAGAATCGTAGTGGCGTAATGAGTGCGTATGTGGTCTATACCATGAATTTTGGGTGGCCAGCCGATGTACAAGTCAGTGTTTTTATCCTCCCAGACAAGTCAGTACCAATTAATCGAAATACTTGAATCCCTTTTCTTACTTCCATCACTTTCAAGGAGCACATCCACATCAACAAATTTATTTCAAAAGCAATATATAGGACTAGACGGAAAGTACTGATACAAACAAGTACCGAAGAAATGATTCAGCAATAACAACTCACGAACCGGTTTCATGAAAGATCTCGTAATAACGCCGATTTCAAGACATGCATTAAAAAGGAAAGATGCAGGACCACACATGTCCCTAGGGGACAACTAAACAGATTACAATGTATCGCAACGTGGTTGAACCAGTGAGATCGGAAGGCAAAAGCGAAAACCCTAATAATACCATCGATAATCTAGTTTGGTATAAACTATCACGATATCAAGGGTCCTTGGGGCGTGAAGTGGATGAGCGACGTCACCAGGAACGCTGAAATAACGCTGCATTGACTAATTTCTCTCAAACAAATTTGTACTCATGACTCGCAGAATCTGGTCGGAGTGTTCCAATAATACAACTAAAGCACTATTGATCAAGCCAAGAATTTGAGCTCGAAAGCCGCAAAGATGACAGAAGGGGATCGCGACAGCAAAAAGAATAACAGAGGAAAAAAGAATGGGAGAAAAACATCGCCTCATCACTCAGCCATCAGCTGATTGTGTGCGGTTTCTAGAACGAATAACAGCAATCTATATCGCCTCAACACTCGTCTGACGTGACATCGATCGTCGGGCAGGAAGGTCGCACGAGCTGGGAACACCGTCGAGTTTTTGGGCGCGAGTGGGTCCTTTGTATTACTCTTGGGGGCCTTTGCTGTTCCACTCTTCCGATCAAAATGGTTACAGAGTTCTTCCCTCTGGAAAAATCAGCGGGGCCACTGATTATTCCCAAGGGAAGAACTCAGCAACCATTTTTATCGTGAACCGTGCCTTTAAGCCAATCAGTGAACTAGCGATCGGAAGAGTGGGATAGCAAAGGGGTTGCGGCTTGGGATAGAGGAGTTCGAAATTCGATTCATTTCAGCGTTGCAACTAGGTCTACCGAGAGTTTCGTCAGAAAATTCAAGCATCCTTTACCCTTTGATTCTCTGAAGGTGCTGTAAAACGGTACGCTCGCGAATGACAGAGCAACTAGAGACGCATTGAGCTTCTACATGGTCACATCGGAGACCACTTTTTTCTTCTGATAAACGTTTTGACTTACCTGTGAACGGGAACGAGGCGGTGATAATAAACAACCACGTGTAACCTATTGAAGTGAGATAGAATTGGGAGATCACCGAAAGCAGAACACCACTGCATGTCTGTAATGAATATTTTTTCACTACAGCCATATGGAATTTGTTTCGTTTAGTTGCTCTAGGATATGCCACCCAGGCACGTTACCTAGTGAGTTAAGGGTCGTAAGGATACTTTCTTACGCATTTGGAACGATTGGCTATGTGGAAGGAAGTATCTATGGAGGGAGAGGCGGTTCTTGGCAGCTCCGACAAAGAGGATGAAGGATGAGGTCAGAAAGGCCTCGTCGACTTCTTCATATCCCAGTCTCTCCTTCTGGGAGAATGGAATCGACAAGTCGCCTGAGCTTTGGCGTCGAGCAGTGGATGGTGATGGTACAACCTCTAATCTTCGAGCTGGTTCGCTACTGAGATATTCACAAAAAAAGTTGGGGGAAAGAACTTAGGGTGGCGGAACTTCCCCCCGAACTCCCACGACCAATGGCAGTGATCACGCGGCTACAGCCGTATTTTTCCTTTGGGAATTTAAATCTTTCCCTTCATCGTGGGCGATCGAGTGCGGCGAGCGCGAAGCGCATTTCGGGAAGAAGATACCGGACCCAGGAACTCATGCATCAACCTATAATAGCTAAGGAATTAGCATACCGTTGAAAAGGTTAAGAAGCCGTAGTTAGTTGCTTTCCATCTGGCACCAAAGCATTTCACAGCTGCCGTGATGAACAAAGCGTGAGTCGCTCCCATGCAAATGAACACACCCACGAGCTGAAACCTGATCTGATTAATGAACTTCTTAATTCACTGGTATTCGAATTAAGTAGTAGTTGTAGTCAGTCAGTAGTGAACATCTACAATTCATACTGCTACGAATACAAATAGTATATAGAGGTTCCTAGCAATTCATTCATGTACTATATAACCGTTAGGAAAAGCATACCCATAGGAGAAACATATATCGTCCAAGATCTCGCGTTATGGGCATTGTTAGGAGCAACGAGGCAGCCATGCATGTGGCTATCGATACTGTCACCTGTAAAAAATGTTCTTTATTGAATACAGTCATAAGGATAGCGGACATGTGATGGTTTGGTGCCTTCTGCACGAGGAGGATTAACTTTGTTCTGTTCTATAGTGAATAGGACGCAGTGGATTGCCAATTCTCGAGAAATAAAATACTAAAGGTGTTGCAAGTGCTGAGAAACTCGGTAAACTACGGAGTGATACGCGTAACTGATACTATAAATAACCTGCCTTTTCCCAACTGTTTAGTTCAACATTTATTGACATTTTAAAAGATTTTTTGGCGGAGGTGGTGCAGTGGCAAGTGGCGCCACTACGGCGTATATCACACGCACGGTCGCGGGTTCGAGTGTCCGATCTATATCCGCCTAGACCAACAAAGCCTTTCATCCCTCCGGGGTCGGTTAATTGGTACCAGTCTCGCCTGGGAGGAGCATAGGCCACATACGCATCCAATACGCCTTTAGGATTCCGAATGGAAGTCGAATGCGGGGGCGCATCCCTTAGACGGGATTGAGTAACGCCAAAAGACTTTAAAGACTTAAGGCTTTAAAAGGATCTTCAGGAAGCTTTGACACGATCGCTCAAGGGGCGACGGATTATCTCGCTTTTTTTGATAGCGATGATGAGGCCCTCAGACAATACTTTCGCTTTTCGACTCAAAAAGAGTACCTCAAAAAATTGCAAGCTGTGCTTTTAAATATTGTGAATCACCGCAGAAGAGGGAGATTGGCACAAATAGAAGCATAAGAGATGTGAGGTTGCCATCCCATATCGAAGGTTGTGGCCTAGTTAAAAATGGCCTAGTAGAATAATTTGTTTCGATACTAAGTCAAGTCAAGTGAAATGGTTATATATGTGCGTTCACATTTACTTCGATCGCCGTAAGAAGAAAAACTGGCACAAAAAGACCCAGCACACATCAAAAATCAGGCTTTACCTACCTGGAAGGACGTCCGATCCACGAGATAACCCCATGCTACTCGTGCAATAGCATTCGCAGTAGATCCGATGGCGAAAGCTTTGGCGAGAAAGAAATCGTCGTCGATAAAGGTTTCAGCGAATGTCTAAAACAAATGGTGATACAAACGATTTCGAACTAAATGAAGAAAAAACAAACCTTGTAAAGATTGTAAAACATATTGGCATAGAATGATGAGCAGAACAGGGCTATGAATAGGAAATAGAACGTGGATGAGCACAGCATCTCTTCAGGCCGCATGGACCATTCGCTGAAGTATCGTCGTTATCCTTTGCGTAAGGGTCTGGTATGAATAACTTACGTTGATTGCTCGTTTATGAAAACGTCGGACGCGTCGGATTCCGAACTGAGTGAATCACGTGAAACAGAACGGTGTCGAGTTGTAGAGGTATCACGTGAAGGTATCTAAAATATTCAAAAAATGTAATGTTGAGCTCCTGTACCAAATGAAAGGACTGAATGCGAGTGATGTAAAAGCTCTGTGTGATGCTGTCGATTCAAATATGGTAGTCAAGAGTACAGCACCTCGTTTTTCCTACAGCAGAACCCTTTCCCTCCAACCGAACTGAAAGGCGTAGGCAGGGAATAACCCTTTTGTGACTGGGGGTGGCTAAATCTAACCCAAATCTATTCAGTACGTACCCGAAGGTATTGGTTGGATGTCGAATGGATATGAAGTAAACTGCGAATTTTGAATGAATCGACAGCATCACATAAGCAAACTGACGAATGTCTTTGGGTGCTATCTGCATGAAATGGCTGAATAATCAAAGGCATCCGACAGCTTTCACCAGAAACCACGAACTAAACCAAGCCAAAGTAGCCAACAACACAAGCTACGATCCACAACGTATCACGACCACAACGTTGACAACGAAGCAACTACAACCACACCGCCCGATAAAATAGAAGGGAAGGAAGGCTTGAAAACTTCTGGTGAGACCTCAGTCCTTAAGGAAAAAAATACCGTCCGAAAAAAAGCAGAGATGGTAGGTTTGAGAACACCGGGAGAAACGTCAACAAGTAGGGTGGCACTGCGCGACAAAACTACCTATATCCAAGCTTGGGCCTTTTTAGAAGCATTGGTGCCAATCCAAACTTGTGCCTTTTTAGGAGCATTGGTGCCAGGATTGGTACGAGGAAATATGTGAATTTAAATTCAACCAGTTTTTGTATGAAATTTGCACGTGACCTGTTCTTTATCCAATTGGAGACGTACAAGAGGTAAATCTAGTGACCAGTAATCGACTAGTAGCAATCGCTTTATCTTGGAAATATGTCTTGACTCTCTGGTTGTCAATCAACTCCGCCTGTGGAGGGCGCCCTTACATTGGACTATCAATGGTAGTAGTAGCATTTGCAAGTGGCTTGTACAATCACTAGTGGAGGCCAGCAGATGCACAATTCATTGCTTATATCCTTCACATCAGTCTGGTACCAATTAATAGACCATGGAGTGGTGAAAGGCTTAGTGGGCCTAGATCGGTCTCACTCTGAACTTCAACTTTAGGATCATGCGTACTAGTGAGCCCTCGGCACTGTACCACCCGCTCCTTCGTGAAAAGATGAAGATCTCGATAAACTTAGCAATGATTCTACAACGAAGATTACGCAGATAAGTGGTGATGCTATATTTTATTTGGCTATCTGTGCCCTATCCGTGTTATCTATCGTACACTCGAATTTTTTTTCCAAATAAGAAAGTCAAATTCGATTTAGTTTCCCTAAACTCTATTGAGCACTCGAAGTTCTAACAATTGTTTGACCCTAGTTAGTTTTAAAGGATTTAGATAGCGATATTTGCCGTGACTATTCACACCTGATCCCCTATCGACATGAACTCTAGTGCTAATATTTGTCGTGTGTGCAAAGCAATTGATTGCATGGTCTGAAAATGGGCATGTTACAGAGGGAATTCGTGGTAACTGCTGGAATGTAGTAATTTACGATCAAGTGCACGCCATCGACCTGTAATTCACATTCTTGCGACCTTTGCACAGCTTCTGTCATTGGAAGGAGCTACAGCGATGCTACTGTGGAGACGTGTTCTCGAGTACGCTCCAAAAAGTAGTGGCCCTAATGAGATTTACCGCTACCAGGCACCAATCACGATTATCAGTTACAGGTTGATTACCATCAAATGTTTTTCAGAAAGAAATGGAGGTCGAAGAAGAAGGTACGATGTGACAAACTCAAAGTAACATGCTTGCTGTAGAAGAAAGTTCTGCTAGGCCGGATTCCGAAGCCTCTGCTTCACATAGGTCGCATGCCTTTACCCACTAAAGTTCTCCAGGGTTTTTCGCACTACATTATTATTAAATTATAACCCGAATAAAAAAAATTTTTTTTTTGACCTGAATAAAAGCTGGACCCTACGGGAATTCAACGGCATTACACTGAGTAGACGTCAGCAAGGTGATGTTGGAGCTCTATCAAAACCCAGAACTGCCTCAGGAAACTCAGCCGCCCAATCAAAATTGGTGCGCTGGGTTCACTGCAAATCGTTAGCAACACTTTTACACTCTGTCGTGTTTCTCTGTATGCAGTGCTATAAGCTTAGCAGGGGCCACAAGCCCGAGCCGGTGAAAGCACGAAGCATGCCGAGCACCTCAGTCAAAGATAATTCGCTGGCGTAGGACATAAAGGCTTTGTGAAAGCATACGAGAGGGAGGGGCTCCTGCTTAGCAGAACTGACAACTTCTATCAACCACGAGTTCTACCGTAATTTCTTCACGAGCTAATTGTTTGTACGCGACAGCGGAGAATTGCTGCTGACGTTGGGATCCGTCACGACGGTGGAGAATCTCGTTGATGTAATCCGAGATCGACCCAAGTCCAGAGGAACGGATCTGCAGTAGCAGAAACACAATGAAAACAATGGACAAACGAATAACAAAGGATCATCCACCGGATTTCACAAAATGATTGAAAAAAATTGTTTTTGAGCAGTGAAAAACCCGAACAAAGTAATTACCTTTTCAGGAGGATCACAAATAACAATGAGTCCAATCAATTGCATAATCGCATAGATCAGTGCCAATGTCAGGAAAACGTCCGGTACTCGATGTAGCAGGTCCTTATCTAAGAAATATCTGTAAGAATTGAAATTTTCTACTTATTCGCTTCCAAAATTTCTTTCATCCAAGTAATTTACCCTTCTCGTGTCGACGGTAAATTGCTCGGATTGATGAGCCGCGTCTGAATGGGGGCAAAAATAGATGAGGAGACGCCGAAGCCAGCAGCAACGATACCGCTCATGAGCCCGACTTTTTCTGGAGCCCACTGAAAAGGAACCATTGTTTAGAATCAAGAAATTAAATAGCTGTCCTTACATTGATTGTAGTGGCCACAGCGGTGACGTACGCAATTCCTTGACCGAGACCAAAAAGAAGACCGTATGTTACGAAGAAAGCAAAGAACGAATATTTTATCGTCCAATATGAAAGCGCAACAGCAGACCTGCAAAAAATCTAAACAGATTCATCACTATGAACGAGGTCTACTCATGCTTTGAAAGGAGTTCAGCGCACGTCTCCCAGTTTGTCCAAGCTTCCTTTCGATAAAGGATAAAGTCTTGGGGCTTTGAAGAAAAATTTGATAGAACCATTTCATCATTTCCGTAAAATCACTGTGAACAAAACTTTTTTTCCGAAATGTCAGGGAAACGGAAAAAGAATGTCACACATTGAATGACAAAAAGTGGAACATACGTGGCGATGGTGCATCCAATAAGAGTAGCCATTCGTGGACCAACATGGAGGGCTAAGGTGCCACCAATTACCATCGAGAAGGGAAAGCAACCTAGATGATAGACAGGAGAATACGACACAGGTGACAGTGTAAGTCTCTCTTCATGAGTTGGACGATCGAGATTTCGCCAATCAGTTTATTGGATCAGCCTTCAAAATTCAGGCTCCTTCGGTGCCGAAAAGTCCGAGAGGTTTTTAAAGGCAAAGTCCAGGATAATTCTGAGGTATCTCTTTATATGAAATAACGGAAGCTATGGTGCAGAATGGTGTAGGGGCGGCGAAGAACGAAAATCAGCGAATCTTCAAAAAATATGAGGGTACAAAAAAGTAATAAAAAGGGTCTGCACAAAATCGCCGTTCTGTGACCGTCTGCATGTCTCACACTCAGCGTACTGCTCGTCGGCGTCCTAACGCTTCATTGTGAATGGTGCAAGCTCAACGAGTCCGTCACAACGGCCGCTGTTGGTTGTGTCCGGCTGCCGAACCGGTTTAGGAGGCTTATTACGCCCAATGTAGACTACCTTTGGGCCGGAAATATTCCATGTATCTGCTTTAAGGCCACGGGTTCATCTTTGGGGGAATCTCAAATAGAGTTTTTATCGTGAACTGTGCCTCTAAGTTGTTTCTGTCCTCCAAGATTCAAAAGGATGCGAAACGTTTAAACGTTAAGTAAAGAGTAAAGTGAATGTTATAAATCTCAACCGTATAGCCTAGTGGGCGATAATTACATTGTAAGAGGAAATAACGATCAAGGGTCCAACATGAAACGTGAACATGTTTTCGTAGAAACTGAAACTTACCTTGAAAAGTGGGAACCCACATGAAGTGTTCAATTCTCACACTAGGGTCGGTGTAATTACGCATGTATGAGGCCATGTAAGGGAGCATATTTCCTGGAATCGGTAAATTGAAAAAGTCGGCATAGTTTCAATAGAATACATAGTGAGAAGCTGATTAGAGCAGTAAATGAAAGGATCGAGGCCAAGGAATCGCCTACCGAAAGTGTGATATGTACCAATAGAAAGGTGAATGAGCACCGCACCCGTAAGGACCACAATTACACGCGATAAAGGTGGTAGTTTGAAGATCAAGCGTGAGATCACATCAACCATGTTGTGGCCTAGAAATAAAAAAATTATAAACGAAAATAAGAATTAGAAATCCATTAAATGAACAGTTTCGTTTTTTCCAAATTTCACCAAAATTCCAGAAAGAAACTTAGGAGCTACTGGAAATTGAAGGACCAAAGGAATCAATCCAGATTTTATTAGAAAACAAGCTGTTGCAGAGAAACGAAGAAGGAAAGAGGAAATGTTTGGAGAAGGGACCAATCTTCACTGAGATCTACCTTTTCATTTAATTTGTCATTTTTTTTATTTTCGCTGGAACAACCGTTGGTTAGGGCTAACTACTTTGTGATACTCATTTTAATTTTTTTTCTAAGAAATGACATTGAGAAAACGTGTTCTATTCAGTATTCAGCTTCTGCATCAAAAAACAAGAAGTCATAAAAACCGCAAAAGCTGTACTGTGAGTCCTTCCTCCAAATATACAGAAGTTGTAAAGCATACAAGCAAGTAATAGAAGTTTTAAAGTTTTTTGGCGTTAATCAATCCCGTCTGAGGGATGCGCCCCCGCACTCGACTTCCATTCAGAATCGTAGTGGCGTAATGAGTGCGTATGTGGCCTATACAATGACTTGGCCAGCCGATGTACAGGTCAGGGCTTTTACCCTCCCAGACGAGTATGGTACCAATTCACCGACCCCGGAGGGATGGAAGGCTTGGTTGACCTAGGTGGGCATCGATCCGGGATTCGAACCCCTGACCGTGCCTGTGATATAATGCGCCACTTGCCACTACACCACCTTATAACAATTACAAAGGAGTAATTCCAAACCTTAGTCAAAATGAAGGTTAGAGAAGAAATCACACTACAAAGTGCATTCGCAATAAATGCTCTGTTAAATCTTGCTTTGGTTATAGAAATGGTAATCCTCCATTCTGTAAGATATAAAAGACATATTCAAAAATCATCGGAAAAAGGAGTAGAAGGCCGCTATACACTCGATTAGAATTACTGTCGTGAAAAAACAAGCATTTTGAGCCACGGACTAACTGTGGAATGAGCTGGAAACTGTTCCAGAGGTCGTTAAAATATGCATGAGGGTTGAAATTGTTTCGGGGAAATGGAATGTGTAAAGCTTAGGGTATCTTGTGATCAGTGAGCTTATACGTGCTCAAAATGGGGAAATGCACGGTATCCGCAGAAGTATAAACAGCATCACGCTTATATAGAGATTTCATTTGATCTGAACATATTTCGATTCCGATTTTACAAGATTATAAAGCAACCCCGCCGGCCCACCACCTAAACGCAGTGGGAAGTGCACGTGGGAAGTGAAGGCGTGCCTCCTTTGCCACTACTTTTTATGTAAAAAAAACTGGGTTTTTGTAATTTTTAAAATTTCATCATGTATTCTAATGCAATGTTTCCGTAACTTCCAGTTATGCGAGAGTTTATATATTGACCAAATTGCCGATCGAGAGGCGACAGGTGATAATAAGGCAACTTCCTTATACAGACGCTTGGGATAGACCTCAGTGGTTACATTTCTGTTCAGTGGAGTTGGATGTGAAAACCGTAAGTTGCTGTATGGGGTATTCTTGAGAGAATCAAAGTGCAAATAAAAATAAAAATAAATTGTAAAATAAGCGCTGCGATTTCGCTATGAAGATTAGTTCCAGTAGAAAATTTACGGACAGCATACGATTGCCAGAAAGGCAATGTACCCCTATAATCCCTTAGCGACTACGAATGGAACGCTAGCGGGAGAGGAAGCTTCGATGAAAAGGGAAAGTCAGCATGATGCAAGGAAGCTTTTTTCTCATAAGCGCAAAGTGTAATCGTCAGCAAAAGAACATTTCACTTGCGAAGGTAAGGAGGGGCGCCTACGTAACTGAAATAGACTTATCAAGGCAAAGTGGCGTGTCGAGATGAGTAATCGTTAAATGCCAAACTTTGAACAAATCGAGATAAGTTAATAGGCCAAAAAGGACAACGAAATTGGGCCCTGATATAACCAAATCGGCCGAACGGAAGGCCGATAGACTCGACTTGCTATCGAGCTATCGAGATACCAGAGGATATAGCACCTCAGGTTCGAAGTAGCTGATATCCTACGAGTGAGTGGACGCGTCAAATCGCATCGTAAATTATATGACTTTCGGATGAATGCAAAAAATATCGGAACAGTCGGTCTGTAACACATGAACGCACATTATGTCTAGACTATAAATCCGGTCTCATATACCTATCATTAGAAAACCTGCTGCACGATTGCAAGATGACGTTCTAAGATTTCGCTTACCCCACCCACTTTCGTTTCAATCTGATTCCTTTCAATTCAATTCAAATGCGAGTGCTAAAATCAAGTAAGTATGGCACATGTCACATGTTTTCGAAGTTTCTAAGAAACCTGTTGGCTGCTGAGGAGAAGAGCACTTCAGTTGCTACTTCAGGGATCTCCAAACTCTAAAGACCTACTTCAAATGATAACGATCAGGAAAAATTTGTAGCATTCGTTAGGTGAACGAAATAAAGGGTAAAGTCTTCGGGCGTTGATTGATCCCGTCTGAGAGATGTGATGGAAAGTCTAGTTGGCTTAGGAGGGTATCCATCCAGAATTCAAACTCTCGACCATGGGTATGTGATAGTGCGAAACTTGGTACTACAATTAGCACTACAACCCTTCCTGCTCCCCTTTTTGGAAAAGACCAAATATTGAGCTTCAGATGAGTAACAATACAAAATCCGTTCTGTGAACCATATGAGTGAAGTAACACAATTGGAATTATCCCGAACCTGACGACTATTTTACGGCAGGACTTCAAAAAGGCAACGAAGTTATATTAGCTCATACAAACAGTATTCATGAACTCATAGAATGTCAACTCATAAATTGGGAAAGGACAGTTCAGAAGCTGCTGGAAGAAAAGGGAAGCAGGAAGATTCCGTGGATCGCAATACACATCGTACGTGTTTTGATTAAATAATTATGTATTCATTTCTGCAGTCATCCCATAGGCCAGCTAAACAAACTCAGCCCAAGTGCAAAGGAATGATGGGGAGATGGGAAAAATAAGGACAGGGAAAACAAATCCTTTTAGGACCTGACTTTCAACTGACATCAGCAGATTTACTGAAGTTCTCTCAAAAATTCTCTCAACGTTACACACATTCACATAAGATTTTCAATAATCCTAATAACCTAACATATATAAATATGTTTAATATATGTAATATATTACATATAATCTATATAATCTATCTAAAAATATTATCTAAAAATAACACATATTTATATTCTATATTATAAATATAAATATATTGGATTATATAAATACCTTTGTTATATAAAAGCTTTATAATTAAGTTTATTTCGAATAGATTGTGTTCATCCCTGGCCCTCCAATCAAGTTTTTATCCTTTCTAACAGGGGCGGTGTAAACTCAGGTGCAGTTCATGGTGGCAGCAATTCATGTGCACATTTTAAGTGATGCGTTAGAGGTGGTGCAGTGGCAAGTGGCGCTCTTCACATATGGATGGGCACGGGTTAGAATCTCGGATCGCTATGCGCCTACGCTAACCAACTTTCCCTCCCTCCGTGGTTGGTGAATTGGTATGGTACCAGACTCATCTGGGAGGATAAAAGCATCGACTTGTACATCGACCGGCCACCGCAAGTCATTGTGTCCCATTGGGAACCGCGCCTTTCACACTGTGATTACATTAACTTTTAATTTCTCTTATAATAGTAGTTGAAAAGGAATGATTCATCGACCACGATGCCTCAAGATTCTCTAGAAGGCTGTGAGCTTAGCTGATACTTGAAAACATGAAAAAATTGTAAGAACACTTGATAAATAATATAAATACTACAGGGGCACGATATGGTGTGGCCCGCTGGCGGGCCACGCGGTCGTTAATGGGGTATAGGCCGCATGCGTTTCAATACGCCACTATGAACGGAAGTCGAAATCGTCGGCGCATCCCTCGACGGAATTGATCGAGCCTCAGGACTTCATCCTGTTGTAACTTATCTTGCGTTCGAAATACGACTCGTTGCAGAAATTATCACAGAGACGGTCAACTGTCTGTTTGATGTACAAGTGAAGCCGCTAATTTTCCTCGTACCCTGCAGAACAGAGCAAGCTAGTGTTATTGCAGAAGCTTGAAGCGTGTTGCACTGATACTGTTCTAAGAATCAATTCCCTCGCATTCATTCACCTTTTCACTTTTACTCAAGTCAGTCATTTGTCAATAAATAAATGCATGCATACATACATACAGTAACGCTCAAAAGTCTTCGGTGAAATGGTCCTTCAGCCGTACTTTCCTGTCGTAACTCCCTTCCTAGTGGACCTAATCATGCGAAATTTCTATATTTGGATGTGGGTGTATTATGAATATTCACCACTATAAACCTGCAATCTGATCATGTTCCAGATATTCCNTCCAGATATCCCAAAGAGCTTGAACTCAAAATCAACCGGAAATACAGATGATGTTCGTCCTAAAGTCTCTTTATTTTTTGTCATGTCTAAAGTGTACGAGCGGTAACGCCGAAAACAATAGATTGGAAAAACGCTTATAAGTCGAATAAGTGCAGACGTCAACGTTAGTTTTAGCAAAATCTGCTACCGCAACAAACACCTTGCTCTATCTTAACCTTGCTCTATCTGTTAATATTACAGGTTCGCAGTCAAATTATGTTGGGTAGGGTAAAATATGCTTTAGTTAAAAATATCAAAATTTTTCGCGATTTGGTCTATTAAGAAAAAAGTTATGAACGAAAAAGGGTCGAAGCATTTCACCGAAGACTTTTGAGCGCTACTGTACTTGTGAGGCAATTTGTTAGGGAAACACCCCTGCAATTGCTCCGCAAATTTCATAATTTATAGTGATCATTATATAGATGCCCCATTTCGCAATTTATACTGGTCCCAGAAAAATTGATGAACGCTTACCACTTCGACAATTTTTTTTGGCTAAAAAAGTGGAGCAACTTCAGCTATCCTGACATTATTCGAAATGCATCCATAATAGTCAT